AAAGTGTATGGTGTTTAATGAGTTTGCTCATAAGTTGGTTCAACTTTTCAGGAAAATGAAGGTGAAGTGCGAGATAGTGAAGTTGATAGGAGGAATTTTATTTATCAGCATAGAGTTATTGGACAAGTAATGCTTCGATAACAGATAAATTTATGTTTGATTGAACATACTTGATTTTTTCTTGAATGGGTGATAACCACATAGTGTGCTATCTTTTAGGCCATTTTGGAATTCCAAGAGTATGCTCGTGCTGGATTTAGAGCAATACCTCCTCTATTAAACATTAATCTGCATATATATGAGGCGACCAATTCAACATGTCCTGAGACGAAGGATCATTGTTGCATATGCTTGGTAAGGGGCACCTAATTTCGTAGCTCATTCCAATTTTTTTGTAGCCCCCGCCCCTCCTAAAGTTCGATTGACCAACCTTTTTTTCTTTTTTTGGATTATGTGTGTCTTAGGAGGAGTATTGTGACAAAGAAGAACTTGCAAGAATCGATTGTGGCCATATGTACCATATGGATTGTCTCAAAGAGTGGAACAAGATTGTGAACACTTGCCCCGTCTGCAGGAGGAGAGTGGCGGTTATTTGCCATTTTGCATTGAGATTCCGTGCATACCTTGGTCGCTTGGCTGCAACTAATCAGCTTAGGTCGGGTTCAGTGAACTGATTTTGGTGGCATATTTCGGCATCAAGTTGTTTTGGTAAAGCTCAAGAAAGTTGAGTGAAACTTGAAAATTAGAAACCATTCTAAGTTTGAGAAAAACAACTGTCTTTTCGTTTTTCTGGTTAATAAGTTTGATGCATTTGTCTTGCTTTTTCGAAGCTAAACATAATTAAGTACTCATGTTGCATGTTTTGAATGACTGATATCCACCATATTTGGTTTTTATTGATATTTCTTGCAAATTTCATTTAGTTCTTGATATAGTTACTTGTCATAATGTCGAGTTTGCTAGCTAGGCTATGTGCACGGGATTGTTTGCCTATCTTTTTAATATGAATAAGCATTATTGTGTATGTATTGACAACATAATACATACACACATGCAAGCAAAATTTTCCGCAACTCTTTTTTGGATACCTTTTTAAATGGCGTTGCTTCTGTCAATTTTCAGCTGAATGCCTCTCAAAGTGAGAGAGTCTTTCCATTATATAGAGAAAATAAAGATTACACATCCCTAAAGATCCGCCATTCCTATCCCTAAAGATCAGCTATTCTATCTATACAAATCTGCCATTGAATCCCTCTAAATCTGCCTTGCTATCCCTCCAAATCAACTATTCTATCACAATATTTATTCATATGATTCTACAACAAATGTATATGATCATGCTAATTTATATCACTATATAATTACATTAATATATACAATCATTTAGTTATCTATCATGCTAACA